ATAAGTTCGGCAACGGCAAGAAAACTCGGCGGGGGAGCATTTTACAGAAAAATGTTTCGAATAAAAGTTGTAAGGCTTAAAAAGTCGCATTTAATGACAGTAGTTATTTGACCTAAGATGACGTCGCCAAGGTCAGGACAAGATCAACTTTGCTTTTTTAAATAGAAATACATATTTTTTATTACGGGATTTTATTCTACGTAAAAAAGCAAACAACTTTTGCTTGAAAAAATTTTTTATACGACCACTATTTTCTAAGATATTTACGTAAATATCTACAAAATTATTGGTTTCAATAATTTTTTACTTAAATTCTATTAACTTTACCGAAAAAGATTACCGATTAAGAGATAAAAATTGCTTATTTTGTTTTCAAAGAGCTCTGAGAATTTTTTCAGAATTTTGTGTTAACTTTTTAGTACTTCAAGAAAATGCAAGAAAATGCAGTACTAAAAATTAATATAAAATTCAGAAAAAATTCTCAGAGCTCTATGAGAACAAAATAAATAATTTTTATCTCTTGATATTTTTCGGTAAAGTTGATAGAATTCAAGTAAAAAATTATTGAAACCAATAATTTTGTAGATATTTACATAAATATCTTAGAAAATAGAGGTCGTATAAAAAATTTTTTTCAAACAACAGTTGTTTGCTTTTTCACGTAGAATAAAGTGCCGTAATAAAAAATATGTATTTCTATCTAAAAAAGCAAAGTTAACCTTGTCCTGACCTTGGCGACATCATCTTATGTCAAATAACTACTGTCATTAAATGCGACTTTTTAAGCCTTACAACTTTTATTTGAAACATTTTTCTCTAAAATGCTCCCCCGCCGAGTTTTCTTGCCGTTGCCGAACTTATGGGACACTGTATATTTCATTTGTATTTGTATATGTTTCATTTACACACGGAGAGAATTTTATCCACTGAGAAAAAAGTATTTAAAAAATAACAAATATTTATCTGATTGATACTAATAACATATCTACTTGTGCCAATGCACATTTTTAAATTGAAAATTTTTCTTTCAAATAAGAAGTTATATGTTTTGTTAAAATACCACATGTACATTTCATGAAAGCAATTGTTCATTCTGTTTAAACATAATATTTTATAGGCTTTCTACAATAAGCCATTAGTCATAACACAACGCATAACACATAAGACATAAGAAAATACACCAATTGTCCTTCAGAATAGAAATGAAGAATTCTGATTGGTGGATTCTTTTATGCCTTATGTGTTATGCATTATGTGTTACGACTAACGGCTTATTGTAGAAAGCCCATTAGATTTAGATTTAAATATGTTATTAGCACCCGCCGAATGAATATTTTCTATTTTTCAAATATTTTTTTCTCAATATAGTAAAGATTACCATAGAATTGTGTAATTAAAAAATAGATCGACATTCTGTAGTATTCATTATTCTTCCTTTTTACATATTTATATTTTACAAACTGAAATGTACTGTTAAAAAATTTGTTGTTTCTAACGAAACTTACTGTATCTCTTGGCAAAATAGATCTTACTGACAGTCTACTCTTTTTCTCTTACACTATTAGAAACATGATAAAGTTGAAAAGAATTTATATGAAAAGAAAAAAAACTACAATATTCTCTCTCCGTGTAGGAGTTGGTTACAAGAGACCAGGTCTAGATAGCCTCTGGCTGTATCTTGTTTGCTGCTCATGTGCTCTTTTTAGTATTTATCTTGAGAGAAACAGTGGATACAAGATCGGCCCTTTAAGAACATAGATACTTTTCCATGAGAGTCTCATTAAAATCGAAATATTACATTTAAAAAATAAGAAAAACTGATTTCGTAGAAGCAAATTTTTCAACTTCTCGAAATTTTGTATTAATTCTCCATCGTGAGTGAACAAAATTAAGCGACGTGTTATTAATTGAAATAAAGTCTCTTGTAAATGTATGACATACTGTTTCGGATAATAAAAGCAATTTTCATTCATAAAATATTTGAAATCAAACATATGGGCAAGATAAAGTTGGCTCACAATTAGGAGCCGGCAAGGGAGGGCTGTGGAGAGCTCTCGTAGAGATTCCGGAACTGCTAATCAAGATACATATTTTATATATAGCCTTCTTGTCCTACGCTACTGAATCTGATAACACGGCAAATTGGCCACGTTGCTGCGCGTTTGTGTATTTTGATTATTACAAAGCAAAATATACGGTTAACAGAATCGTGACAGGCATTAACACATAGAAGAAGGCTACTTTTATCACATTTGTACAGTCAGTCACAATTAGTTGTCTGAGAAGTTGTAACTTCGAAATTCTAGTATATGTAACATTTAGCTCTATTTTTTCCCACGTTTTACATGTTAAATTAGCAAGATGCGACAATATCATAGCGTTAGTCATTAATAATCATCATGACATAGCCAACGAGTTAAAGGGATGCTGAAAACTTTGTCGACAGAATACCGATATTTTTCTGCAAAATTTACGTCGTATTGGTTGTACAAAATTACAAATGAATTTTTACGCAATAAAAAGTACATATAAAGATAAATAGAAGAATTATTTAATATATGATGAAAATGAAATAAAAAATTTAAACGTAAAATCTCAAGCTGTCAGCGGGATATTTGCTTAATCCAAAAATTCCGCAGTTTGTGGAAACATACCGACGTAGATTCTCCAAACAGAAAAGAATTTTGAAGAACATTGCTGTACTTTTCCATTTGTATTCAGAAGCTTAAGAATATCGGAAAAGTTTGCAGAAAGATTTCTATACATACGTGATTAGATTTCCCATTGAATAATAAAACAAGGCATATTTACGTAAGTTCTGTATCTACAAGAAATACGAAAAGAATAGTGACAAGTCTTTGTGTTATCGACTTTTTTCGAATTTATCATCGACTCCAGTATCTTCCCCTTTCCTCCCTCCTAAATATTTTACTTGTTTTCCGAGTTTGGTTCGTGTTTTCCTTGTTTGGTTTCGACGTTTCCTTGTTTGGTTTCACGTAACATTTTAGTTCATTTCTTCAAGAAGCAGGACAACCTGCTACTTTCTTGCGAGGTGTCTTCTTTTATAAGAAAAGAGGTTCTCTAGTGATTTGGGGTGAATAGTGGGAAAGGGGAAGGTATAGTGGGGGAATAAGGACGATGTTAAAAGGAGAGTGTGGTCATAAGTCTCTTGTAGAATTATCACTGTAGGATAAGCCTTTCTTAGACTGACAGAATGGCTCGCCAAACTGGATATTAATCCGCTGTCTCTGTTGAGATTATTTGAGTATTTCTAAATTTCTAATGAATTTCCCTATGTTTCTTTAAGAAATAGACGTTGGTCTTGACTAAAATTGCTGTTTGGTCAAATAGAATTTTAGATTCTGTTTCTATCTAATGTTCTGATAATGCAGGTTGTGTTATGTTTTAGCCTAACTGCCTCTCCTATATACACTTCAGAATATTGTAGATTCCTGTTTGATGGAAATAATTTGTCCTTTCAGTTAACATAAACTTATCGACATACCATTTTATCATTTGTATTCGTATCTATATCATTCAAGTCGCGTTCTCACACAGCACCAAGTTATTTCAACTTTGCTTCTCGTAAGAAAGCGTCTCTTTACCGTCCCTTTATTTTTATACCGCAACTTTTTATTGCGATATGAAGCACTCGAGGGCAAAAGAAACTCTACATCGTTCTTCGCTATGCGGAGTTTTCGCGAAGGGTATGCATAGTTTTCCGCGACGTCGTACGAAGTCGGGGCATGGTGGCAACTTATTTTTTGACGGTGCCAGAGTCGTGCGCGCGTCTCGAATTCGACGACGTCACTTTCATCGATATTGCAAGATGGAAACTTTCGTCCTTTGTCTCGACGAGTCTAAAGGACAGCTGAAACGCGACGTTTCCTACAAAGATGTGCGTCAGTAAAAAATCCTCACTCGCGCGTAATCTATATCTAGCGCTATCGAGGAGGGCTGCTTCCCCGTTCTTCAAACGTTTGTAAAAGCACTCCGAGGAACGTCGTTTTGAAAGGAATCTTCGCGAACGGCGTTACTTCAGTGACAGTTCCACTGAGAGATCCATGCTTTTAGCGAAGTTGCGCGAGCGCGCTATCGATACTTATTATCGTCTCACTTCTCTCATCCCGATAGTCGATGCGATGCGAATAACTAAGCACAAGCACCGCTGATAACCGTTTTACGCGGGACTGTCGCCTCTCTTCCCCCCCCCCCCCCCCCCCCCCCCCCCCCCCCCCCCC